TCCACCATCTCACCAAAATGACCTTGGACAACTGACCTATCAACAGGGGCCTCATTTTTCTTCCTGTGAAGGTAACTCATGGTTCTTATGGGAATTTAATGAGTTTATGTATGAAAAGTGTCTAGTACTGTGCCTGGCACATAGTGAATACTCAGTGACGTTGGCTATAGTTGTTTTATTGGGTTGAGTGAGACCTTTGAGATGACCTGGCCTCCATCTGGTTCAGGAATCCGCTCTGTGGTGACCCTGCCTGATGACACCCCACAGTGCAGCACTCACATCCTCACACAGGAGCCTTTTCTTTGTGACTGGTGACCTACTCCCTGTCCCGTCAGCTCTGAGGGCCCATAGAGGATGGGGCCCTCTTCTTGAAGACATCTCACGGCTCCTTGAGGGTGACTCACCTGTCTCCAGCCTGGGTCTTCTCTTCCCTGGGCACATCCTGACTGTATCCCCTGGAAGCAGTGCTATCTGCCCCTGTAGGCCCCAGGGCTCAGCATTGAACTTGGTTCCGCTCAGGGGGCTTTTCTGCACTGTAAACAGGTATTGTGGGTGTAGCTGGTGCCCATCCTCTGAATTAGACCTGGAGAGAAATGTCCTGAGAGCAGAAGGTGACTGGCTCATAAAGAAGCTGAGGGGCCTCTTTCCCCGAAATCACAGGCCCTGAACTGGAAAGGCTCGTAGGAGTCTGAAGCCAAGGCTCCGGTACCCCACTGAAGGGATCAGCACGAACTCCCCTTTCTCTGGCCCAGCCTAGAGACAGGCACTGGGGATGTTCTTCACTCAAGGGGCCGGAAAGCAGGATGGTTAGGGCCCCTGGCTTCCTGATCAGCCTAATCTGCATTCACGTCTTACTCCCTCTTTTTAGCTCTATGGCCTTGACCCAGTCACTTAGTTGCACTTTCCTCGTGTGTTCAGAGGGGAGAATTTTCACAGCCTAGCACATATGAAATAGTAACTCTTACTATTTATGGTTATTACTACTCCAACCCCCCAGGGAATGGACTTGAAGCAGTTTTCTTCTTGCACACAGATGGGAAGATGACTGGGCAAGTCTGGGATTTGTTCCAGCGGGTCTGGAGGCTTGGCTGTCCATGTTCTTGTCCCAGGGATCATGGGGAACCATTCCCAAGAGCCTCTCAGCAGGGATCGGAGTCCACGTGCTGTGTTAGTGGCTGGTGCTATGGCCTGTAAGGCGCGGGCGGGGTATGTTTGCAGGAATCTCTGGGGGCCTTTGCCATCAATGGAAGCGAGACTGTTCTGAGTAGGAACTTCGTGGTGCATCCCTCCCCCCACATGTACACCGGCCTCTGGTAGGCAGTTCTGAGGTTAAAGGATGGAGGAAACAGATGGGGTCCCCAATAACAAAAGAGAATCATAGAGAAGTCACAGGACACAATGTGGAGCAGTGCCTGGCACACAGTAGGGTCTTGGTTCCTCTTTCACAGTCTGCTGCTTGCCTTATTATTATTATTTTTAAAGCATCCAAGTATTATTGTTGTTTGTTTGGTTTTTGCATCCAGGTGTCTAACTGTACTTTATACAGTTAGGTTTGTTGATCTGTTCCTTTGTGATTCTTTTATAGCTCCTAGATATAGAAAGTATTCCTCGCATAAGAGGCTGTATAAATGTTAAATTCTGTTTTGTTTTGTATTTTTTGCTTTGATTTAAAAAATATTTAGAGTGTAATTTGATGTAGAGTTTATTTTGATTTTTAGGTTATTGAGAGTCTCTCTTTTTTTGTTTTCCCAAAATTGTTCATTGGTTGGCTATTCTAACATCAGTTATTAATCCTTTCCTGATTTTTTTGTGAGGCCTCCTTTAGCATTTATTAAATTATGACATATTACTTATGGACCAAATGGGCTATATATTTTATTTCTATGATCTATTTTCCCTGTGGCCCTCTTTTGAAATAATTGTAGCCTTGCAATATTGGTTACCACCCATCTTTTTTTCTTATAGAGTCATGCTTGCTCATTCCTCCAGTTGAAATTTAAAACCATTTCATAAGTTAAAAAACCAAAAAACATTTTGGGATTTGAGTAGGAATTACATTAAGTAATCTATAAATCAGTTTCTTTAAAAATCAACATGATTTTAATATTTTGACTTTTTATCAATGAACATGTTATAGCTTCACATACAAATCAATTTTTAAAAACATTTTTGTGTGAACTGTTCTACTTTTCTTAATATTATTCAGATCCATTTTTTCATTATTGCTATCACTGTATATTTTATATTACTGTTGCTGTTCAGAATAGGATCCTCAAAAACTATATTTTTATTGCTGGCATATAGAATGTCATTGAGTTTTACGTGTTTATTTCGATCAGCCACTTTGCTGAAGTCTGTTTAATTTGCGTTGTCAGATGACTTTGGGTGTTTGAGGTTACACAGTCATTGCAAATACACATCATAATAATCTTGTCTGTTTCCAATGTTTATGTTTTCTGTTTCTTTGGACAGAACTCCTCAGACCATGTTAAGGGATGCAGGTGGTGGGAGGCATCCTTTGTGGCTTTTTGTTTTAAAGGGACAGCTTCTGATGTTTCCCTTGGTGTTGCTCCGAGCTTGTAGATCTGTCACTTCCACCCAATGGGCTTATATGATTGACAGCCACCACAACCGTCCCTTGGAGCCATTTGTGCTCTGGCACCAGGCACTAGGGACTCGTTGTTTGGAAGGGTTTGTTCTTTCTAGAATCCCCAGCCTACCCCAAACTGAGCCCGCAGAGCTGGTCCAGTTCCAGCCCTGATCTCTACTGAAAGCCTGGCTTCCTGGGATTGGTTCCCCGCTGCAGACTTCGCATCCTCTTCCGCCATCCTCGCTTGCTGATATAGGAGCTGGTGGTTATGGCAGCAGAGTGCGCTCACTCAGCACAACCTGGACCAGAGGAGGCAGTAAGACACTCCTTCACAGGATGCCCTACAGGACCCCTGTGGCCCTCAGTCATCTGGACTTTTGTCTTTACCCCACGTGCCACCTTTCTTTCCTCACCAACTCAGGGAGGTCCCCAATACCCTGCCCTGCTCCAGGCCTGCTAGACCTCTGCTGGCACCGTGCTCTGTGGTCTTTCCAGTCCAGTGGGAAAGCAGAAAGAAAAAGGGGTCAATATAATACAATACAATACAATACAGGATGAAGAGGTTTTATTTGCACAATATGAGGCTAAGAGGCTGGAGCATCTAACTGCAGTGAGAGAAGGCTTCTTGAAGGAGGTGACACTTGAGCTGGTCTTGGAGCAAGAGTAGAAATTCTACGAGGCAGATGAGGGAGAAGGGATTCTCTTCTGACTGTTTCTATAGGCTTTGCATTATTGTTGCTGTTCACAGTAGGATCTTTATAAACTTTCTTTTCTTGCTGGTATATAGGAATATTATTGATTTCTGTATATTTAATTTGGAAAAATCTTCAAAGGCTTAGAAGCCTGGGGGAAGCCTGGCCTCTTTGGGAAAAAGACAAGAGTTTGCTGAGAGGGAGATGGGGCAGTGTTTTCTGAGTTGGTGAGTGAGTGCTCCTGGGGTTCAGGGGTTCAGGGGTTAGGAGGGGATCACCAGTAATGGGGGCACTTAGGGAAGAAGAAACAACATCTGTAGCATTACCTCTGCATTCCTGCCTGGCACTTTGTTAGTACATTTAGTACTTTGTATTACATTTACTTTTCCTGACAGCTTTGCTAGGTGGATAATGATACCCCCATTGTACAGATGAAGAAACTGAGGCCCAGGGAACTTACATGACTTAGATGAACCTCATCTCTTAGCCTTCATACTTTCAGTGTCTCCCTGCTGTCATATATATAAAACAGTTTTATAGACATATAATCCATATACCCTACAATTCAGCCATTTAAAGTATACAATTTAGCGGTTTTAGTATATTCATAAATTTGTGCAGCTATCACCACAATCAAATTTTAGAACATTTGCTTACCCTCACCAAGAAACCTTCACCACTTCATCTCCATCTCACAGTCCTTCGATGCCCCCCAGCCTTATGGAACCACTCATCTACTTTCTGCCTCTATATACTTGGCTATTCTGGACATTTCATATAAATGGTCTCATACACTATATGGTCCATTGTGACTGGCTTATTTCACTGAGCATAATGTTTTCAAGGTCCTTCGATATTGTAGCATGTATTGGTACTTCCTTTCTTTTTATTGCTAAACTTACTCCTTTTTATGGAGATACCGCATTTTGCTAATCCATTCAGCAGTTGATGGACATCCGGGTTGCTTCCATGTTTTGGCTGTTATGAATAATGCTGCTATGAGCATCCATGTATAATGTGTTTTTGTGTGGACACCTGCTTCCATTTCTCCCGGGTGTACACTGCGAGTGGAATTGCTGGCCATATGGTAATTCTTGAGGAACGGCCAGCAAGCCTGCACACAGCTTCCTTGCTGCCTCTGGTACAAGGCTTTCTTTCCATCAGTGTGACAGGACTGGGAAGGTCAACGTCTATGTGAATTGCCCGTTTTCAAAGAAGTAGACTGTTATCAAGTACTCATAAGACTGCAGCTTCACTGTTGAGTCTTTGACGGTTCCTTAGGGACTTGTCGACTTGGCAGGGCCTCAAGGGCATTGCCATGAATGCTGGTCACCACTGCGCTGGCAGAACCCTGCCTTCCACATTCTGGCTAGTAGGATGTGGTAATGGAGAGGGACACGTGTGATTACAGGTGATGAAGGCTCCTTGAAGAGAGAGAGTAGGGTTTCAAGCCTGGCACAGTGGGGACAGGCGGGAGAGCAAGGAGGCTGGGAGGGTGGACCGGGTCGGGTCCACATGGTTTGGGGCAAGTCCAGTGTGATTATAGGTGATGAAGGCTCCTAGAAGAGAGAGAGTAGGGTTCAAGCCTGGCACAGGGGGGACAGGCAGGAGAGCAAGGAGGCTGGGAGAGTGGACCGGGTCGGGTCCACATGGTTTGGGGCAAGTCCTCGGGCAGCTCTGGCTGCTGACTCTGGTCTGTCTTTGTTTTTTGGCTGCAGATCTGGCTGAGTGCAAGCTGGTTTCTTTCCCCATCGGCATCTACAAGGTCCTGCGGAATGTCACCGACCAGATCCACCTCATCACGCTGGCCAACAACGAGCTGAAGTCCCTCACCAGCAAGTTCATGACCACATTCTGTCAGCTTCAAGGTAGGCCCTGGTCAGCTCAGCTTAGCTCAGGGGGGCATGGCCAGCCCTCGTCCTCAAGCTCTGACACTCTTGGGAGGGGAACTAGGGCCAGCCCTGCCAGCTGCACCTGGGAAGTCTCTGCCAGGGGGAGGCCTTGAGGATGGACCTGTGTCCTTCCTGAAGCGTAGAAACCTCTGTCGCGTCTGCCTCGCTGGCTGTGAATCAGATTGGCTAATGGTCTAGGTGTGGGTCCTGGAGTGACCCTCTTATTCTGAACAGACCAGCGGGGTCTTTAGGGTCTTGAGGCCCAGAAGTATCTCTTGGTGACAAGCCCCCTTCTGGTCCCCCAATCCGGCATTGTTCTCCTGTGCTGCTCTCTTAGTTCAGGAGTGACAGATTCCAGAACGTTGGTGTTTCCTCTGCTGGGCACACACAGAGCACGTGGACAGGGGGGCTTGGCAGCGAGGTGGGCAGGAGGCCAGGAGGTGGGTATTATCGATTCTTTTGAAATGGCTCCTTCGGATGGACAGCAGCGTGCAGGTGTCGCCACAGTGCTTGTCCCCCTCTCCTCAGAGCAGCCCCTCCATCCTCTGCAAGAGTCCAGGGCCACTCAGCCGGCCTGGGATGGAGCTGCGACCTGGGCATGTGGCATGTGCTTTCAAAGTGGTGGAGCGGGAGAGTTGGGGAGAGCACAAGAGCCTGACCTTCCTGCCTTCTAGAATTCTCTATCTGCTAGAAGCATGGAAAGGGTCTGAGAGCCTGTGTAGAGAAACACATATGTAAAATGGAAACGGGGAACAGAGCAACTTGAGCGAGCATGTCTCCTACAGCTGATCTTAGGCTTCTTAGGGAAACCACAGGAGGGAGCCACAGGCAGGCCTGGAAAGACCCCCGGCGAGGTGCGGACACGAGGGCAAGAACGTGGGATTGGTCTGTGCAGTCGTTTCTGAGTGAAGCTCACAGGGCTCATATTTTTACATACGATACAAGCGATCAAACACTAGATTTAGCCTGAGGGCCACTGGTTGGGAGAATTCCCCATAAATATTAGAGCTGTTTCTGTCCCCTCATTTCAGGGATGGAGAAGGAAGGTCAGGGAGAGCAGGGACATGCCCGCCCGGGGTCTCAGAGCAGTACACCCTGGTTGCCCACCTCGCAGGCCAGGTGCCTCCCCAGGACACCTGCCTGAACTCACAGGTCCTCCAGAGCTGTATCCAGCCCGCTGGAATGGGGTGTTTGCTTTCCAGAGCGGGAGGGAATGATGGACTGTGGATGGTGGGGGTGGGTGGAGCCCCTGGAAGGGCAGCCAGGCAGGCGGGCTTCCTTTGGGTGAGAGTTCATTTGTACATTTTCCTTCATTCACTCTGCCCTGCGCTCCTGCTGCGTCCAGGCCTGTGGGAGGCTCAGAACAAAGGAGCTCAATGGGAGGCTCCCACTGAAGGAGCCCAGGGTCATGGAACAGATGCGCCAACACCGAGTGCTGTGACGCTAGTGTGGACAAAACACGGGGCTGCCGGGCCGAGGAACAAAATCTTCCCGAGAGTGGCAAGGGCAGCGGGGTGGGTGTGGAAGCGAGGCTCTCAGAGGATCTGACATTCGGCAGCGCCTTGCGGGATGAGTGAGCAGGCCCTCTCAGGGGGACCACGACGGGTGTCGGAGAAATGTGCTTAGAGCCCCGTGCATTCGTGCCTGGGCCCTGGAAGTACAGTCATTACAATACCCTTTGGGTCAGAAGTCTGTTGAAGGGTACAGTTTGAACTCCCTCCTGTGCTGGCTGCAGCTCCTGATGCCCCCACACGCCTTGGATTACAAAGGGATGGCCGTGTGCCCAGCAGGAAGGGGCTGGAGCTGAGGACCAGCCTGGCTCCCACGGAGATAGCGCTGAGTCCCAGCCTTTGTCGTAGCTTCTCTTTCAAATAAGAAAACCCTCACATCTTATGTGCGAAGAGGAGGCTTGAATAAGGTTTTCTGGGCTCCTCACAGCCTGCCAGTGTCCTGACGAAGGAGAGGGGCTGCTTTGGTGTTGGGGAGAGAGCCATCTGTGAACTCCCTGCCTGCCAAGTTGTCTCCTGTGGGCAGCCTGGGAACCGTCTTCTGCTAGGCTCATGGCCCCTCAGAGCAAAGCCTTATTATTTATTTATTTGCTTATATGCGTTTATTAGTCTGCTTGTTTGTTTATCTGTGTATCTGGTTGTTTGTTTATTTGTTTATTTATTTATCCTCGCCCATTGATTTTTTTTTTTTGAGAGAGAGAGTAGAAGGGGGTGAGGGAGAGAGAGAGAGAGAGAGAGAGAGAGAGAGAAACATCAACATGAAAGAGGCACATTGATTGGTTGCCTACTGCATGTGCCCTGACTGGGGTTTGGAGATCGAATCTGCTACCCAGGTATGTGCCCTTGACCAAGAATCAAACTGGTGATGCTCTGTCCACTGAACAACACCAGCCAAGGCAGAGCAAGGTCATCTTTAAATGATTCCATCCCCTTTATGTCCTTCACCCGTTTTATAACAAGAAAAAGCAAGAAAGACCTGGGAAGGAATCCACTGAACAACACCAGCCAGGGCAGAGCAAGGTCATCTTTAAATGATTCCATCTCCTTTATGTCCTTCCCATTTTATAACAAGAAAAAGCAAGAAAGACCTGGGAAGGACAGTGGCAGAAATGGAATCAGTCCAAAGGGCAAGTGAGTCCCAGTGTCCAGCTGTGGCTCTTTTGTTCCCTCTTTTTCTGTGTCCCCATCTCCCCACTTCCTCTCCATGCAAATCATTCAGCTCTTCTTTTTTAAAATGTAATTGTTTTTAGGTTGATTTTTACAGAGAGTTGAAGGAGTGAGGCCGGAGAGAGAGAGACATCGACGTGAGAGAGAAACATCCACTGGTTGCCCCCTGCACACGGCCTGACCAGGAATCACACCCACAACCTGGGAATATGCTCTGACCGGGAATCTAAGGATGATGCTGCAACCAACTGAGCCGAGCCGGCCAGGGCTCATTCAGCTCTTCTTACTGCGTGTGTGTGAGACACACCTGCAGAGTGAACAAAGACCACCCAAATGAGAACTGCAGGGGCTGCTCATTCAGAGCTGCTCTAGCAAGCGAGTCAGCCTCTGTGCTTGCCTTGGGCAGAGACTCAAAGGCAGGCAGAGGGGAGGGAAAGCTTTACAGTGGAGGAAGGGAAGGCTTCGGGTGTGCCCTGATTGGGGCCTTTGGCCCGGGGACCCTGGAGGCAGGCCTGCTAGCCGTGGGGCATCCTGTGCGATTGGTTAGGGTGTGTATTTGGCTTTCTCTGCTTGGTGCTAAGTTGGAAGTAGGGACAAAAGTTAAGGAAACTGTCAGCAATCGAGTCCTGGCCATTGGGTCCATTTGTTACAGAGGGTATTGCTTGGTTTCCAGAATTGTTGATAGCAATAGCAGTCTGACTTCCCACGAGTCTGACTTAGAGCAGACAGCTTCCTGAGCTGTCACTGTTGAGATGGGTTGGTTTCCTGGGCAGGTTGTGGGTCAGAGGTCTATTCTTATAGGTGGTCTGGCCATTGCCTGTGTGTATATTCAGTCTCTCACAGCCTGTCTTTCAGTGAACTTCAGCAGTTCCTCGTGAGCGCCTGCTCTACGCCCGGCGTGGGCACGAACAGGTGAGGAATAGCAGGAGAGCCCAAGTTCACAGGGTGCATGCTGAGGGTTTTACATATGCTATCTCATCCAGCCCTCATAGCACCCGGTATTTGAGAAGGCTAAGAAAACTGAGACCTAGGTTCGCTTGCTCGGACCCAGCCCTGGATCCCGCCCCAGACTGGGACGCAGCTTCACCATGGAGGAGGCAGACCGAATCCTCATCCATTCCCTGCGCCAGGCCGGCGCGGCAGTTCCTCCGGGAGTGCAGACCCTGCGAGCCTTCACCACTGAGCTAGTTGTCGAAGCCCTTGTCTGCTGCCTGCGTGTGATCAATCGTGCTATGGGCTCCGGCCTCAGCCCCCTGCTGCCTCTCGCCATGTCTGCCCGTTTCCACCTGGCCATGAGCCTGGCTCAGGCCTGCATGGACCTGGGCTATCCTTTGGAGCTTGGCTATCAGAACTTCCTCTACCCCAGTGAGCCTGACTTCCGGGACCTGCTTCTCTTCTTGGCTGAGCGTCTACTTGCCGATGCCTCTGAGGACGCAGACCAGCCTGCAGGTGACTCAGCGATCCTTCTCCAGGCCATCGGGAGCCACATTTGGGACCAGCTGGCCCTGCCCTGGGTTCCACCCCTTCTTCGCACTCCTAAGCTGCAGCATCTCCAGGGCTCGGCCCCCAGAATCCTTTCCATGCCAGGAAGCTGGTCGTGCCTGAATTGAGTTCCACAGGAGAGCCCCGGGAGTTCCAGGCAAGTTCCCTGCTACTACCAGCCCCCACGCAGGTGCCTCAGCCTGCTGGGAGGGTGGCCTCGCTCCTCGAATGCCATGCCATCCAGCTCTGCCAGCACACAGCCCGGGACCACCCTGGGAACAAGGCCTGGGTCCACCAGGCATCTTGCCTCCCCGCACAGGATAGGCGGGCTCAGCTGCAGCGGCTGCAGAAGCACCTGGCTGAGCATCTGCGTCAGACCTGGGGCCAGCTGAGGAGGGGCCCCCCACAAACCCAGGACCTGGGGGAGCTGCTGCAGGCCTGGGGTGCTGGGACCACAGCTGGTGCTCCCAAGGGCTCCCGCTTCACACATTCAGAGAAGTTCACCTTCCATCTGGAGCCCGAGGCCCAGGTAGCCCAGGTGTCAGCTGTGCCAGCCACCTCCCGGTGGCCTGAAGCAGACACGTGGGCAGCTCAAGAGCAGGAGCTGGAGGCTCTCCAGGAGCTGCTAAATGGAGTGAACCTTAACATTGAAGAGGTTGCAGCCAACATGAAGACACTGGGAATCGGCCTTGTGCAGATGGAGACCCGGTGTCAGCAGACGGAGCTCAGCGCAGCGGAGAGGGAGCAAGCCCTGCACCTGAAGCACCGGGCGGTGCAGCTGCTGCCAGACGGGGCTGCCAACCTTGCCAAGCTACAGCT